TGTTGTCATTTAACCGGGAAAAAATTAGGGACCACAATTTTATTGTTCTAACCTTTAGAGGGGGTCAATAGTAATGTAAATTCAGAATCGCGACAATTCCACCCCTGCGTCAGCCGCCATCTTGAATTTAAGTAAAAATCGTTTTTGCTCAATATCTCGGCCATTTTCAACTTTACAACAAAAATGGTAAGGAATTAAGTTGTTGCAAATACGATTTCCTACAACTTATTTCATTACAAATTTTATCGTGCGATCGATATTTTTCGAGTTAAGGGGGAAAATAGTAACAAAGTATAATTATTAAATTATCTCGTTTGTTATTGACTTTACGACATAAATATACATAAACAAAGTTCGAAAGAATTATATTTTCTACAATTTTGATGTCTTTGATTTGTTCGCTACTACCAAAATTTAAGGTCCTACACCTATGGCAAGCCTAACTAAACTCAAGGGATCAACATTCCATAGGCCCGACGTCTCCGCAAGCGAAAAAATCAAAGAGATCAAAATTGAAAAAAATATAATTCTTTCCAACTTTGTTTATGTATATTTATGTGGTTAAGTCAATAACAAACGAGATAATTCAATAATTATACTTTGTCACTATTTTCCCCCTTAACTTGAAAAATATCGATCGCACGATAAAATTTGTAATAAAAGGAGTTGTAGGAAATCGATGATGGATATACAAGTTGGAGAAAGAGTCTATAGATGTCGCTACAAAGATTTTGTAGAATCCCAATTTTGACAATTGTAATATTTGTAATTATGAATCATTTCATGTAATTTATGTTGTTCATGTTTATTGTTGGTTAGGTTTGGCGAGTGTTGGTGTGTTTTATTTGTTTTTAGTGTGTTTTATTAGACATTTCATTCACTGTATAACATAATAATGTCTGATCATATAATCACATTTTTTATTAATAATAAAATGTTTTGTTTTTTTGTTTGTTTTAATAAAATATGTCTGAAAGTTTGTCGTGATCAGAGGTAGGTAGTTTTTTTATGCATATCAACACAACGAAAAATTTAAAGTTGCATAATAAATCTCTATTACAAGAATTATTCAGATTGGTTTAGTAAAATTATTTACATACTTGTAATATTTTTTTATTCACCGTGAAAGCTAATACAATATAGAAAGCACTGAAAGCTGCTCTATAATCATTTCCACTCTTTTTTTTCAAAATATGTACTGAAATTTGAAATTTTTTCAATAAACATTTCAAAAAGTTAGTATCAAAATTATTTCTTATTTTAAGTAGGAACGCTATTAGAGCTTTTAAAAGTGTCTTTAATGCTTTTTATCAAATGTACTTATTTTCCCATGGTGACCAAAATTATCTACGTGAAAATTATTTTACAAAACCAATTTCTGAGTGATCTGTGTATAGTTGTACGCTCTACAACTATATACCTACCTACTCAATATTTGTTTTAGGTATTCTGCCGCCGCTAAATTTAAAATTACATAACAAATCTCACCCTACACAGATCACTCAGAAATTGATTTTGTAAAATAATTTTCACGTAGATAATTTTTTTTGTCACCATGAGAAAATAAGTACATTTGATAAAAAGCATTAAAATCACTCAAGCATTAAAGACACTTTTAAATGCTCTAATAGTCTTCCTACTTAAAATAAGAAATAATTTTGATACTGTAACTTTTTAAAATGTTTGTTGAAAAAATTTCAAATTTCAGTACATATTTTGAAAAAAAAGTGTGGAAATGATTATAGAGTTTCAGTGCTTTCTATATTGTATTAGC